GACGATTTTTATTAATCCAGTAAACCTTTATATTTTTTAATAATGATTAGTTTTAATATTTTATTAAATTTTACCTACCTATTTATATATTAATTCATAATTCTTTTTAAAGCTTATATGTACAAAGATAACATGTTATTATAACATGATGTTAAAAGAACTGGAAATATATTTCTATTTTGATTAAAAATTACATTTTATTATTATAAACTTATAGCTTTTATTGTATTTTTATCTGTTAATGGCAACTTTTTATGATAGTCTTAATATATATATATTTTCTATTTAGGATGAAGTAATAATTAAAAATGATTCAATTTCTCGATTGGGATATGTAAGTTCTAACTTTTATTAAATTCAATTTCGTTTAATTACCTAAATTAAGCTTCTTTTAAATTAAACTTAAGATTAATAATATTATAATACTCAGTGGTTGTATTGCAGAGTAATGATGCTCAGTTAAAAATGACTCAACACAGTACACGAAAAGTAGTAAATCTTTTTTTTACACTACCAATAATTTTTGTTTCAAATTTATAATGATTAATGATACTATGACTATACAAATATCACAACGTATAATTTCCATTACAGGTTTCTGTAAAATGTGGTATTTTAAAATTGGTATGAAATTAATTTAAGAATATAACTTGAATTTAAATTTATAATAAAATATTGTACAGGGCATAAAAACAGATATGGAGTGGAGTACAGTCTTAAACAGTTCCCCAATACTTTGAATATTTTTATTTCATAAAGTATATACCACCACATTTTATCTGGTGTAAATTTTACCAAATATTGAATGCGAGTAGGTTGGGGGCGGAGTCGTATAGATTTTTAAATGTCATCTAGTTTTTAGTCGGAAATCGAACGTCGTTTGTGACGCTGGCGCTCCCAAAGCAAAACGTCGTATCGAAAAGTGTAAAATCAAAATAAAATATCGTCTGAAATACAGTCCACATTAAAGATCAATAGATTGCGTTAATATNACTCTAATGAAAATTTTTTGCATATCATTTATTCATAATTAACAATAAATTATTATCTATAAAGTTCTATGTTAAGCCCTTCAATTTTTATAGACGTTTGCCATAAAATTAATAAATACTTTATAATTTTTATAAATTCTCCTAAAAAATTACAATACTAAATTATTAAATATCAATTTTATAATACGTTAAATTGCTTTAATAGATATTTATTTATAAATTATACTTATAAATAAACTACTAATTAGGAATAATGACAGAAATAGGAGTTAATTTTGCTTTTGAAATAATCTACCGATTTCTTAAAATTAAATTTTATGTATATACTTACAACGAAGAGTTGCTTTGGATAGCGATTTTAATTACTGTCAGATATTATCTATACTTGTTCCAACTATGCCGCACCACACTGTGCTGCGACCCCACGGTGCTGGGTTGGTTTTTTTTATATTGTTTTAACTAATAATATTTCCGATTAATTTCTATAATCGATATCGATATTTTTAAAACTGATTTTGAAATTTTCAAAATGGAATTATTAGAATATGTCTATCTATATTCAAAATATAATCAGCAAGACTGTGGCGGCCCAGCATTTCTTAGCGTTAAGCCATAGCTGATGCTATGGCTCATCCTCGTTAATTTACATTAAATGTTATTTCAATATACTTCTTACTATCCTTTACGCCAATAGTGATAGAAACATTAGTGTGGGCGTTATTCATAAATTGTAAGGTACTGCTCAGAGATATGAGTTAAAAAATGGTTATTTTGAAAACCCTAAAAGGAAAAAATTCCTTAGATGATTTTTGCTTTATTCATATACACTTTCTTTTTTCAACTAAATCCTTCCATCGTAATTTTAATTATTTCATTTGATAAATTCAGAATTAATTTTAAACAGGTACGGACTGAGGCGTATTCTATCGCATATCTGTTCATTATTCAATGGTAAATAATAAAAAATGTATTTATTCTGTTTATTTAAACAATAATATATATATAATACCGTATTATGCACCAATTTCAGTGTTTTTTTTAATTTTGAAGTTTTTTGTATATTACATTACTTTATATTCCTATTTAATATAATATAATTTTAACCGAATTAAATAATAAAAAAAAAATTGTTGAGGCACATTTACAAACAATTTTTATTTTTTTAAACATGTTTTATAAAATAAATTTTCTTTTTTTAGTTGTCGCGTGTGAAAATATTTTTGCCGCGACGATTTTTATTAATCCAGTAAACCTTTATATTTTTTAATAATGATTAGTTTTAATATTTTATTAAATTTTACCTACCTATTTATATATTAATTCATAATTCTTTTTAAAGCTTATATGTACAAAGATAACATGTTATTATAACATGATGTTAAAAGAACTGGAAATATATTTCTATTTTGATTAAAAATTACATTTTATTATTATAAACTTATAGCTTTTATTGTATTTTTATCTGTTAATGGCAACTTTTTATGATAGTCTTAATATATATATATTTTCTATTTAGGATGAAGTAATAATTAAAAATGATTCAATTTCTCGATTGGGATATGTAAGTTCTAACTTTTATTAAATTCAATTTCGTTTAATTACCTAAATTAAGCTTCTTTTAAATTAAACTTAAGATTAATAATATTATAATACTCAGTGGTTGTATTGCAGAGTAATGATGCTCAGTTAAAAATGACTCAACACAGTACACGAAAAGTAGTAAATCTTTTTTTTACACTACCAATAATTTTTGTTTCAAATTTATAATGATTAATGATACTATGACTATACAAATATCACAACATATAATTTCCATTACAGGTTTCTGTAAAATGTGGTATTTTAAAATTGGTATGAAATTAATTTAAGAATATAACTTGAATTTAAATTTATAATAAAATATTGTACAGGGCATAAAAACAGATATGGAGTGGAGTACAGTCTTAAACAGTTCCCCAATACTTTGAATATTTTTATTTCATAAAGTATATACCACCACATTTTATCTGGTGTAAATTTTACCAAATATTGAATGCGAGTAGGTTGGGGGCGGAGTCGTATAGATTTTTAAATGTCATCTAGTTTTTAGTCGGAAATCGAACGTCGTTTGTGACGCTGGCGCTCCCAAAGCAAAACGTCGTATCGAAAAGTGTAAAATCAAAATAAAATATCGTCTGAAATACAGTCCACATTAAAGATCAATAGATTGCGTTAATATTTCGTGAGCTATCGACCATTATCTATAAAATATAAAAAAATAAAACTTTTTCAAACTAACTTTTGATATCATTCCAGAAAGACTGAGTTTTTTTAGAAATATGATAAATTATATTACGTTTTATAATATAAGTATTATATATATAGTAAAATATATAAATGTATATAGATCTAAAAATATTTATTGGTCATTAATAAATTAATCTCACTATAATAGTANGTCATTAATAAATTAATCTCACTATATTAGTAAATTTTTTTTTTTTTTACAACCGTTATGTTGGTTAATACCATTGGTATTAGTAAATTATAATATTGAAACTTTTAACTGAAAAAATTCTTGGCTAATGATATTTTCTAAATGATAAGTTTACCAGATACCTTTAAATATTAATAATTATAATTTCTGTGTTCTTATAAGTAAGGCATTTTTAATAAAAATAAAACTATTGAGTAACTATATTTTTTTAGGTATTTGAACCTACAGACATTTACGCAGAAATTTATGTAAATTATGTGAGTAACTGTTTTATCTGATCGTATTTAAAACACTTTATTTATTTTATTACTAATAAAAACAGTACATACAAATTTTCATTCCAGGATGATAATGTTTATTATTATTCAAAATCAAAAAAAGTAAACATCGTACGTAATTTTTTTTTAAAAGTATCAACTTTTTTATTAATAATTAAATAAGAATAAAATAAACTTAGTACGCATAAGAAATATTAATTAAATTTATTTCAATATCATACATACAATATTGTATATTTTTGTAGTGTATAACATTGTACTAAACAGATGCTATTCTATATAAAATTGCAAATTTTATAAAATGAATTTGAAACTTACAGTTTACATTTAAACTCATTTTTCTAGTTACAATTAAAATTTATATCCTTTTCCTCGAACTCCATAGAATTTAATTATTTTTTGGTATTAAAGGATTTCTAGTTTTTCAAACTATATAGTTAATTNATTTTTTGGTATTAAAGGATTTCTAGTTTTTCAAACTATATAATTAATTAATTTAATTAGCTTTGAAATTAATGTATCTTTTTAAGAATTTTAGGAAAAATGACATCGTTGTAACAAAAAAAAAAGTTGAGTGTAACTTTTCATATGATGGTAAGTATATTTAATGTTGAATTAAAACATATTATATTTGTTATGCATAATGTAGTTTAATAATAGTATGGCCAGACTTGTCTTAAATATGAACAGTGGCGTAAAAAATGTAATTTTTTTTTTATACATGCATGTATAATTGTCCATGTTGTCTTAAAAATATAGTAAATCATCCAATTATATTTCATAAAAACAGTCACCTTTTTGATTATAATAATTTAAACAATGTATAGGTTCCCAATGCCAACACCCAATTAGAAAACACTAACGAATACGGACCAAACACATAAATCATACGCTAAAGTAACTCGACAGCATAATTATTGAAACAATTCGCCAAACATAGACACAACTAATACTAATAACAACANATAGACACAATTAATACTAATAACAACGAACTCACTAAACTACTCTCATCATTTTTAAATGACTTAAAATCCTTAATTAATCTTTTAATATCCTTATTAACCACTGTAATTATTAAAATTATTTAAAAAAATATTCAGTTTGGATTCTGTGAGAGACACTTTACTTTACACTAAGTTCATAGGTTAACCGACAAAATAGCCTCATNATAGATTAACCGACAAAATAGCCTCACCATTTGAAAACTGCAAATACTGCACTGGTATATTTCTCGACGTAGCCCAAGCCTTTAATAGGGTGTGGCATGACGGGCTGCTTTACAAAATAAAAAATTTTCCCAGCGCCTCTATATTTAATAATAGAGTCTTACCTTTACAAAGGAAAGTTTACGGTAAAACAAGACAGTGCGAAATCTCCTCACTAAAAAATTCAAGCGGGCGTTCTTCGAGGAAGTGATCCGTCTCCTGGACCTATACAATATTTTTACCACAGACATACCCCAGTCTACTAATACTCTTCTTGCTACATTTGCTGACGATACAGCTATATTCTCTACTCATAGTAATATTATTGAAGCTGTCCATCATCTACAAACGCACGTCAACATCATCAAATCTTGGTTTAGGAACTGAAAAATTAAAATAAGTCAATCATGTAACATTCACCCTAAGATCCGAAAAATTCCCAGATATAAATAATATAAAAATAATGAAGAACATTAATAATATAAAATAATCAATAAAAATTATAATTTTGAAGGGATTATAAAAACAGGTAGCTAATTGGTTTTTTATGACATCGCTGTCACAGTACCGGATTGTTTATTATCAATTATGACTAGAGCTCCTTATTTCACGTGTACACGCTTTCACGTATTCACGTGAAATAAAGGTTCGATTTATAAGACCCGTTGCTTAAAATTTTCCGTGAATTTATGATATTAATCACGTGTATCCGTGAATTATTATATTCACGTGTATCTGTGAATTATTATATTCACGTATAACCGTAAATTTGTGTTAAGCCTTAACTTAGTTGTCTATTTTTTTCCTAGGAAGAAAATAATTATTTATATCATTTTACTTAAGTTAATTAAAAAACTAATTATGTTCAATAATCAATAATAATAATTAATGTTTTATTCAGAAAAACCTAACCTATAGAGTGACATAAGATAATTTTGTATAAATAAACAATAATATTATAACAAATTATAATAAATAAACAAAATAATTCAACACCTAAATAACTTTAATAACATAAAATATTATTAAACTAATAATTTTCTATTTTGGTACAAAAACGTCACCATATTTACATTTTTTGCCAACAAATAAGTCCTTTTTGAGGTTACTATATTTACAGCAGTAGAAAAGCATCTCTCAGAGCTTACTGATGTGGCAGGAATAGGAGATATTCCTTGGCTAATGCTGCAAGATTTGGGTATTTGATTTCCCTTGATTTCCACCAATCATATGGATTTAAATCAAAACGTAATTGAGGTTCCGCTGTATAAATTTGAAACTGAGTCGTTAAATTATCGTTTTTAATTATTGTATTTCCATATAAAAATTGAAGATCGCTGCTTTGAGCTAGTGGATTTTGTTCCATATTGAATTCAATGTTTTGCATGCTACTGTTAAATTTTTCTAGCAAACTCTTTACAGCCTTACGAATTGGTTCAAACTCTAATTCTTTATAACGAGGATCTAGAAAAGATGCAATTTGTCGGACAGAGATAGAATTTGTTTCACTACAGTCAAGTTTGAATCGTTCTTTAATTTCAAATATTATTGTAGATTTAAATTCAGTGGTATATTTCATAATGCTCNATTGATCATCAGTTTCATAATGCTTTAAATGGTGATCCAATAATTTTGATAGTAATGGTCTTACCATTGACACTGGAGAATAGTTCTCGGAGCAAAATAAATTTGTAATAACATATAATGGTTTGAGGAGATTTACAAGATTTTCTATTCTTAATCATTGAGCTTCAGTTATTTCTAATTTTTGTGCAGTGACTAAAGTNATTTACAAGATTTTCTATTCTTAACCATTGAGATTCAGTTATTTCTAATTTTTGTGCAATGAATAAAGATGTGATTGCTCTGTCTGCCAAAACATTTGAAATTGGACTCCTGTTTTTTGAAAGACGGTCTAACATTAAATATATTGAGTTCCATCGTGTCTTACAACATTGCACTAATGATTGGTGCGGAAGTCCTAGCTGTTCTTGTTTGTTTAGTAATGACTGTTTGGCTACATTCGAGTGTTTAAAATGTCCAACTAAATTAGTACACTGTTTTATTAATTCCGAAAATATTTCTTGTTTTAATGCAATATTAATAGCTAATTGCAAATTATGAGCTGCACATGTCACATCCATGTTTTCATTGTCTATTGTAATAGGTAATAACTGTACAGCATTTACTATATTTTTTGTGTTATCTGTAATTACAGTTGTTACTTTACCATTAATTTCCCAATCGTCAAATATACATATTAATTTTTCCGCAAGATTTACTGCTGTATGACGTTCGGTCATTTCTTGTGTGGCTAAAGTAAATGACTTTGGTAGCCACTGGTTATCAATTATGTGAGCTGTTAAAGACATATATGAGTTTTGAGCCATTGAAGACCAACTATAAGTGGTGCAAACTACTCTTTTCACATTTTGCAATTCATTTTTTATTTTGTCCTCAACATTTTATTTCAATGCATGTAGTCTTTTTTTCATTGCTTGATCACTACATATTTTATAATTGAGCTCCACAACAGCCATGAACTTAAAAAACCCAGGACTCGAGCAAAATGATAAAGGCAACTGATTCATTGTAATTAATGAAGTTAGTGCTTGGTGAATTTTTTCCGTTTTTTCATAATTACATTCACGATCACTATCAGACCCACATTTTTTAGAAATACGACGACGTTTTCTAGATTTTGAACTCGAGGAAGATTTAGTATTGTTATTAACAAGAATTGTATCATCATCTTGATTGATGGAACTTCCAGAACTGCTTGACCTTATAATTTCTTCGGAAACATTTGATGTATGTTTAGATTCCAAACTAGACTTACAAAGTACAAACTGTACAATTAAAATGTATGTTATTTGTTTGTAAAATTTTAAAAATAAAATTGACGATTTTATTTTTATAGAATCTACGTACTTATATGACCCAATTATAATTACGTAAATAAATTATATTTTATTATTCGGGTTGTTAAAATCAAATAATTGTTAGATCACTAAAGTACCCAGACGACATTGTAATGAAGTTGTGNATCACTGAAGTACCCATACGACATTGTAATGAAGTTGTAAATTTTATTTTAAATATTTTAAAATAACTAATAAATATCATACACGTTTAATTATGTAATAGAATAAAAAACATAATTTATTATTACCTCTTTTCTGTGGATTCTTTTGGTGGTTTAACTTGATGTATATTTTGCAAATGTCTCATTATAGAACCAGTAGTTCCACCGACACAGGAGTATTCGTTTTGATTGTCATCACATAAATCACAAAAGGCGCGATCTCCTTCTCGCTTAGCATAGTCCCACATCCAACTTTTTCTTTTACCCATTTTTTAGTAAAACTTGTTCACTTAAAGTGATTACATGCAAACCTAACGATTGACTGTTAAACCATCTTAAATTATGGGTTCAAATTCTACACATAATATTTAATCTTTTATAATAAAAACTGTGGTATAAGATGACAATAGATCGGTTTTATAAAAAGACCTGTTATTTTATCTTTCATAAATAAATGTTTGTTGTCAATGATTCCTCATTATATTAACCAAACCGTCGTGTATACGTCACCATATGATATCTTTTTCACATATTGTACAACCTGTGTAATCGTGTATATTCATTTTATTAGCTAATGTTCGTGTTAACTTTAAATTTAACCTAAAAAACTTACAAATCTGTTATACCACAAAAAGAAATGTACATGTAGTCCTCAACAATATACATTTTCAGTTGATATCAATTAAAATTATTCATGTGATTAACGAATTCACGTATTCACGTGATTGTGACTCTTATACGTGTTCACGTATTATAGCTTTTACTTATTCACGTATATTAATCATACGTGTTTTATTTTGTTATACTCTCGTATTCACGATACCCGTGTACAGGTATGTTTGTATTCACGTAAAAACATTAGAGCTCTAATTATGACTATCAATAGATATACTTTTTATATCATCAGTTAGTGTATTTATGAACTCACGACAATATGCCTTACTACCATTGATAATAACAATGCTGTGTACCTGCGAATATTCATGTCATAAAAAACCAATTAGCTACCTATATTTGTAATCCTTTGTGTATTATACATGTATATTAACTCAAAAATTTGAAACTTTAAATGTTTATATCTTATAAACGAATAAAGTTATATTAAAAATTCAAATGCCATTTATTATTAAATTAAAAACTAATACATTTTATTAAATTCAAAATATATGTTCTCATTTAAAAAACAAAGTTGATACCATTAGCAGGTATAAGGGATGAACTTAAAAAGTATTACATAGTTAATTATTCAAGAATTATGTGTAACTAAAGATAACCAAAAAAAAAAAAATGTTTAAATTATATATATTCTGTAAGTATTTGAGTGGGTTATGATAAAAAAATCACTCTGTATTATACTTATAAATCATAAAACTTGTAATCAGGATATAAATAAGCAAATAAGAGTACATTTAGTTTTTGGGATAATCCACCAATTTCTTAAAAGTAAACACTATCTACATATATGCATTGAAGCGTTTAGTGATTTTAATCGCTGTCAGATATCATCAATCTTGTCTAAATACGCCGCTTTTCTACTGTGATAGGTTTTTATTTTGCTATATAAATTTTATTTTCAATTATAAAGTATTATAAAATTATAATATTATAATATTACAAAAATCTATAAAANATTATAAAATTATAATATTATAATATTACAAAAATCTATAAAATAATGAATTATTTTATTTACAGAAGATGGTATTAATGGTTTAGAGTTATATATAAGGAGTTTACACAAAAAAATTATATTTCATGTCTTTAAAATTTATGTAAGTCAATCTAACATATCTATGATATTTAAATGTATTTGAAATTCAATCTTTCACAAATTAAAATTTATTTTTTTCTATTAAGAGAGAATCTATTACGAAATTAGTTAACCGAAATAATACGTTTCATTTGATTAGAACAATTATATAATTTTTAAGTATAGTANAATACGTTTCATTTGATTAGAACAATTATATAATTTTTAAGTATAGTAATGTACGAATAATTTCGTTTAATTAAAATTAATGTTTAAATTCATGTTTAATTAATGAAATGTAACTATATTTATATATTATTTGATTGCATAGATAACAAATTAATAAGAATCGAGTTTGATTTTATAGTACTTTTTTTACTTCTAACAGATTATTCTTTAATTACATACATATTTAAATTGGGGATTAAATAAAACTTATTTATTTTATTTTTAAAACGCTCTAGATTTCTAATATTTTCAGTTTTGGGATATTTAAACAATATTAATTTTTTTGTTTTGCGTTTATCGTTCTTCAAACTTTATTGATTGTTTTACATTTTATAATGTTTAAACTTTAGATTTCCCTGAAATAGTTTTTATGCTGAGAAACACTAACTTACTAGTAGTTATATTTTCCCCAAATTGTTTGTACCTTATAAGGTTTAACAAATCATCAATGTTTTCTTTTCAAATTAGTTTAAAACTATTATTTATCATTATTGTATATTTTTCGTTAATTGTTATACATTCCTTTTCGCGTTTTTTTGCAGTTTTAACGTCATAATAATAACATTATATATACGGTCTCAAATACTGATTTAAAAATCATTATAGTCTTTCTATTCTGTACAAGTTTAATAAAAGTAATAATTGAAAAATATTATAATTTAATAAAATTTGAGTTTTTATTTATAATACATCTAATACAACAGACATATATATTGTTTAATTTTATTCATATTTTATGTCTATTTTTATATATTTATTCAGCACTCGAGTTTTTCTGATCCAACTATGAATAGGTGGCGCACGGGGTAAACAAAACCGATAATATTGTTCATTTTATAAAAACTCATATAATTAAATTATTTTACTTTTTTATCTAAATTAAACGTTTGCTCCCGTCAATATTTTATGGTGCATATGATGCACCTTATAATTCAGTGTCTCATGTAAAAACATCTTCAATACATCTAAATCTGCAAATATTTTGCATTATTATTTTTGTTTCTTAATCATTTTGCAGATTTCGACTATGTTAAGAACATAATTTTATTATTTCTCTCTCAAAAGGAAAAAATAATTTCTTAACTTTCTTGAAAATTTAAAAAAAGTTATATTTTTTAAACATTTTGACTGGTTGATCACATTTTAAGGTCTGTAATTATTGAGTTATAAACATTTTAATACATCGAGTAGGTTTGTATTAAAATGCATGTAACTAAATAAATTAACTTATCCTGAAATTGTTATCGATTCCTTCAAAATTTTATATAAGCAAAGAGCTACAAAATGGCTCTTTTGAATTTTTGAAAAAAAAAAAAAATTTCTTTCACATTAGATATGAATATTAAATATTATGTTTAAAGAAAGTATTTTTCAAAAATTTAACGAAAAATATTCGCTGGCAAAACTTATCAAAGAACATGTGGGACATTATCAATATGTTTTCAATTTATGATGGCAATTAAAGTGCAATTTGATATTAATTTTTAATTTTTGTTTAACAGAACAGTAATCTTGAAGGTATTAGTCTTTCAGTTAAATCTACGGTTTATAATAAAAAATTAAGACCTCTAATTGAAAATGTTCTAAATTCCTCTTTATGGAATTATGTCAAAGATGATCTTGTTGAATTGAAAAATTCTAATGAAAATGTTTGTATTATGACATTGGAAAATTTCATAAATAACTCAATAATGGATAAAATAACTGTTGAAGAAATTCTACATAAGATAATAACAGTAATGAATAATCGAACTACTAGATATGTGCTTTTACTAGCTATATATGCCTATGAGGTACTAACAATTGATTATTATTTTATATCAAATCCATTTTGGGATGAATTAATGAAATATTTTACAACATTGAATGAAGCCAAGATTAAATTGGCTATGGACATTATAATAAAAAATTCCATAGAACAATTAAAAATGAAGAATAATTATCGCATAGAAAACTTTATTTTGAAAGATTTGATAAAGGTATGTACAATTATTTTATATCCGTCCAAACAATTTTACGAACATAATTTTAAAGAGGCAAGAAATTCAAAGTCTGAAAATTCGAATACACACATATTGGAAGAAAATGTATTAAATTACGTTTTAGAAGATTTTCATAATATACCTAAATTTAATGTTATACCAGATACACTAGATGAATTAAAAGAAAAATTGAAGAAAATTTTCGAGTTAATTGACATAGAATACACAAATATTCTTGAAACAGACTTTGTAACTTTAAATAATTTCATTATATAGATTATATCTATCTTAGGATATATTTATCTTCTAAAACATTTTATAATAATTAAATACTGATTTAATGTCAAAAATAAAAAATTCCGTTTCTTTGTTTTATTAATTAAAAAAAAATGTATTAACATTTAGATACGAAAATACTATGTATGATAATTACATGTATTTTCAATATTATTTTTAAATTAAATTAATTTCACAAATTTAATTAATACAACATATCAATTAAAAATAAAATAAAATTTATTTAATAATCTATTAGTTATGTTTTATTATTTATGAACAAATATAGTTAAATTTTTAAGAATTTCTATAAAATATTAATTGTAGCCTAAGAAATATTATATCATTGACTACACTATTTTTTATCCTTCTATATAATTTAAACGT